AGAATTATAGATATCTGCAATTTAATTTTAACTAGTACAGCTTATATTTTCACTAGTAATTAAAACGTAAGATTACAGATCTCTTTAACCTTTGTGTGGTGTTGGGGTCTGTGGGACCCATTTTGGGTGTTTACCAAAAGAAAAAATAATGCGATTTATTATTATTTAAACTTCAGATTCCGTGGCCTTTGCTCATTTTCTGTGAAGAACATATAAAATAACACATTATCAATGACTTAACACTGTACATCCCCCTACACATTTGTATTACACATGTGGTGTTGGGGTGAATTCATGGGGAATAAAAGTGTGGAGATGCTGTGTCCCTTCACTCTGTCCTCCTCCTACATGGCCTGCTGTTAGTGTGTGTGTGTCCGTGTGTGTATGTTTATGTGTGTGTGTGAGAGTGGACAACATGGGCAGGTTGCTGACTGGCTACAGCTGCTAAAGAAGAACCCTACGCTGATCAATTGTGATATTTTAAACATCTGGTATTTTTACATAAATTGTTATGGCTGTATTGATTAAAAAAACAATGCAGTGGATCCACCAAACCCACTGAGTAACAAAAACATTGACACCACACAAGGGTTAATGTAATCAGATATCAACGTACATCTTTTTACTAGAAACAATAAATATAACAGATCTCCATAATGAAAACATCACTCATTGATAGATAATTAAGACTAGTCAAATTAGTTATAAATTCAATTTCAGACATTTAAAACTGACTTCTTACTAGTCAGAACATGTATCGTCTCTGTCCAGTGAAAAACATGTATATCTATTTTTTGCGATTTTTACTTTTCTGCATCATTTGAGCTCAGCAGCTGTCCTTTACATTGTGTGAAAATTTCATGATGATTGGACCAATAGAAATACTCCAAAATGGCTTAGAATGAAATCTCTTTCCATTATTTTATATCGAAAGTAAAGAACATTTTTGCCCTCTCCTGTAAACATACTGTTTTGGAGATACATGTTTTTCTTTGGACAGCGACAGTATTCGACATATGCTAATTTGTAGAAGACAGCACACCTCTTTTCTCTGTTACATTCTTGCTGATGATAATCTGCTGAAGTGCAGATTCCTTAGACTGTATTTCAGTATAAAAGTCAGTCATGGTGTATGGCAGGTCACTAACATGAAGTTTGCTGAATGAAATAATAACAAAGGCTGCTCATTGTGTAGCGTTACAGCCCTGTTATCCCACATGCAGCAGTCTGACTTTGCACTCAGTAACTCTGACATTTGCACAGTGCAGATGTCTGGTGGATGAGGCAAATCTCTCGGCAACGTTTAGCCACATTTAGCAAGAGTAAATACTTTGGCTTTCACGTTGACGACCTATTCATTGATATAATAATGTATTTTTCATGGGTTGCGAAGTTGTATACCTGCTAATGCATTTTAGCTTATTTGGTTACATTCTGGTTAATGTTTTAATTTATTAATTTATTGGCTGCACAATATTTTACTAGGCCAGAAAAGGGGACTTTGAATAGGCCTAGTTTTGTCTTAAACTGGAGGAAGAAAAGCAACCTATCCGCAATAACTGGTCTCAAAAATAACCTGCTGTGTATTTACACTAAATTTACACTTAATAGCAGGTCAGAACACAAGGTAAACAGCCAGTAAAGCTCCTTGGCACACCTGTTTGCTAGTTAAACTGTTGATAATTGTCGATAACTAATTGCCTGGTTACTGAAAGATTGCTGATGTTCCTGGAGTGCTCCAGCCACTCCCTCACTAATGGGACCACATTTAATGCTCTGTTGAATGGGTTAGTTCCTTCCTCTACCCTTCATTCCTCTCCTTCTCAACCATCTTGTGCCCTGTACTGACCTTCTGCACACAAATCACCCTTTTCCCCACCTAATGTTGCTCTCATAAAAATGCATGAAATGCAAACCTCATAGTTGAGACCAAGACAAGACCGAGACCAGATATAAGTATGGCAACACTACTAAACACCACAAAAAAACCCTTCATCATACCAGTACCATACCATACCACCATTACTGTACCAAACAATGGTAAACCTTCACTATGGATAAGACCTTTGAACCTTCACCATACCAACCACCAAGAAAAGCTTCTCCAGACACCAAAGAAAACTGATCATAGCACACACTATGGCTCTCCCTGTATTTCACTCATCAAAATGAAAGCTCCACATCCTAAATGCTCATCATACAATGCCATATAAACAACACTGTGTAAAATCCTCATTATGCCAAGCTTCTTCACACCATTGCCAGATACAGTGACTCACTGCATCGACCTTCTGCACACACACCACCCTTTTCCCCACCTAATGTCGCTCTCATAAATATGCATGAAATGCAAATCTCATAGTCGTTTATGCATTCATTAAACAATTCATTAATTTTGGTTTGTTTTGTTGTTTTCTTGTAAAGCTATTATGACTAGTCTACTGAAGATATCTGTAATTAAAATTTCTACTAGTAAAATGTAATTGTAGATGTCTGTAATTGTTTTACAGGTAAAAATGTAATTATAGATAAGACATTCCATGTAAATCAATGATAACATGCAACTAGTCAAAATTACATCATGAATATGTTGTCCTGGCAATATGACTAGTCAAAATACTCTTATTACACTTGTGTGTTAATATTGATGAAAACTCGTCAGATAAAATATTACAGTGATGGTGGTGAATAATGAGGAGACAGAGCTGAACGTGTCTGTTTATTAGGAGGAATAACGTTAGAGCAGCCGGCTAAAGCATCTGAGAAACTGAAACTGCAGAGCAATGACTCTCTGATAAACAGCACAAAACGCTGTCATAATATTCTTAACTTCTTCAAGTCTAACTTGAGATAAGATGCTGCAAGATAAGATGTGATTCCTAAATTAAGATAAGATTTGCTTTAATAATACAGATTTGTGAAAAATCTTATCTTGACCTGTCAGATCTTAAGACAAAAAGATAAAAGATAAAGATAAAAGAGACAGCCCCAGAATATGAAAATAAAAGGAAGAAAGGGGAAAATTTTGAAATTTGTTTATAGTTCATAGTAGATTCATAACCATTCATTAATCATGATACATATAAAAAAAATAATAATATCATATTTTATATTTTGTAAAATATTAAAACATTAAATAATATATAGCTCAAAATACCATTAATTATTATTATATAGGCCTTATTGTCTTATAGTTTATAGTCTTAGTCCAACGTTGCATTATAACTTTTGGAAACAAATGATGGTGAGATTATTCTCTTATTCAAAGTTCACCACCTAAAGTCAACTGAATATGAGCCAAACATCATAAACCCATTTTTATTATTAAATGAGAACGTAGTAATAATAACATCCTGATCTGCTCTCAGGGAATGTTTAAATTTTGGAACCAGTGAACATCAACAAACACATAACACCCAGTTCAGCCTTCATGGAAAGATCAATTATGTCCTCAACCATCAAAGAACAGATTTCATGTAAACATGTAGAGAAAAGACTGTTTAATTGTGTTTGAAAGTATTGCTAATATTCAGTAATGATAGAAAAACCAGAGGCATTGTGCTCGGTTGACCTCGAGAAAAATTTCTGCCTTAGCCCAAGACAAGTGAGTCCAAATGATGTTGAGACCAGACGTAAGTACTGCAACACTACTAAACACCACAGAAAACCTTCACCATACCAGTACCATACCATACCACCATTACTATACCAATGATAAACCTTCACTCTGGATCAGACCTTATAAAACCTTACCAAGCACCAAAGAAAAGCTTCTCCAGACACCACAGAAAATTGACCACAGCAAACTCGCCCTGTATTCCAAACACCATAATGAAAGCTCCACATACAAAATGCTCATCATACAATGCCATATAAACAACACTGTGTAAAACCCTCCACACCAGTGCCAGATACAGTGACTCACACACTCTCACTAATCCCCCCACACCTAGTGATTAGAAGAGACCCGCTCCAACCTTCCTCACACACAGCCTGCAGGCTCAGTTCTGTTTTCTACTTTAGAAGCCAAACACACAAACAACAGTAGACTGGCATCAGGAGAGTGAAGTTACTCCAGTAAGCCAGTCAGCTTTTCTTAAAGACGACCTAAAAGTGTTCCATTTAACAAACAGAGCCACAAAACATACATTCTGTAAATGTTGCAACTTAATTCACTTAAAAAAATGTTCTGTTGAATGTACAAAATGCTATTGTGTACATCAGTTCCATGAGAATGAAATATATACATTAACATAATCACTGTGATTCATTTTGTTTACTTTTGTCAACTTCTTCCAGAAAGTTTAGGAAGAATGTGCTGTAGATGGTTCTATATAGCACATTTTTGAAAAGGGTTCTATATAGCACCAAGGTGCTATATACACACTTAAAAATGATGCCTCTTCAAAGGTTCTTTAGAAAATGGTTCTATATACAACTATGAACTATCAAAGAAACCTTTGCATGATTAAAGGGTTCTTTGTATAGTAAAAGAACACTTTAGTGAGCCATGGACACTGGGGTCTATAACACCTGCACATGTAGAGCCTGTTTCACTAATTCCCCCCTGCTTTGTAGGAGGGTTAATATATTAATATACCTCTGAGTTAATATATTATTACAAAACATACTCATTTGGAATATAATTTTAAGGATTATATGATCTATGAGATAGGATTAGATTCTTTTGATGTAGTTTGGTAAATTTACCGTTATCAGGAGCATTGTTAAAAAGTGTGAGTGTGCAGCTGAAGCTCAGTGGGAGTTGGTTAGCTGGGTGGATTTAGTGAAGGTGGCAGATGTCTATGAGTGGCTCTTTGGCCTCTTCTTATCCCTTCATCCCCTTCAGTGGTTTCATGCGAGCCTCAGAGCTCTGTCAGACTGCAGGAATGCCTGGCCCGAGCAGATGAGGCTTAAAGTACGGCTTAAAGTAGCAGAAGCTGTGAAGCCGGAGGTGTGTGACAGTGTATATCTGCAGAGGCACTGCTCTCTGAGGCAGGATGGAACGCCACTGGAACTTGCTGAAGGCTCTAATGATGTGGGAGCTGCTGTGGTTTCCCTGGTCATGCCTGTGCCAGAGGAGACAACAACTGCCCGTGCTGTGGATTATGCCTCTGAGCAGTGAGCCAGCGTGGGGCAACGTCACAGCAGAGGTGATGCCTGCAGTCCAGCTCGCCCTGCAGCACCTGGGCAAGCAACCTGTTCCTTTACGCAATTATGAGCTTCAGTTCCACTTTGCAGACTCCAAGGTAACACAGAGATACATGAGGCTTAAGCCAAAAGTGGTTCTTCTATGGTACTGCTCCAAAGAACCCTATTGGGCACCTTTATTTATTTAGGAGTGTTTATATGAATACATACATTAGTATATATTATCAGCAGGGGAGTGAACTGGATCGGAATAGTGATGATGATATTATTTTCAGAGTTCTCAATGCTATAAGTATGAAATTATAGCAGTAGCATTCAGATCTCATAATTGGGATCACGTCTATTTTAAGCAATGTAACACAAGAGGGAGTATTTTATAATACAAGATCAGAGAGTTCTGTTGCTTTAATACAACAGTCCTGCAAAATAAATATAAAAGTAAAGCAAGGGAGGCCCAAGTATTCCTCTCAATGGCAAACAAAGCTGAGCTTCGGTGCTTTAATTGGATGTAAAGTAAACAATTTCATGTAAAATCTGTGTGAAATCTAATTAACAATCTTAGACTCGGCCCCCTGTAGACTCAGTCTTGATTTGGTCTTGGCTAGTCATGGTCCTGGACAACGCAACAAATGTGGTCTTGACTACAGCCCTAGAGCTGCCTCTAAATATGTGCTATGATGGGACAGTTTGTCAAGGTCCTGCTGTCATTCTGTTCTTCAGGATCTGACCAACTCTAAGCAGGTCAAATATTATCTCATAGAAATTTGATTGTACAGAAAATGTAATGTATTCATTTTGTATTTATGTATGTCGTAAAGTAGAAACTTTCCTATAAAATTTTCTGTCTTTGAACCTTTTTATGATAGCATTTCCCAAGTACTACTGAAACGTAAAGTTCCAAAAACATGTTTGAATGCAGAGTTCAGTTCCTCTGTATGTGACAACAAAGAAGTCTTTACTGTAAGTTCTAACAAACATTTAAGTAGGAGAAGGAAACTATTGTTAATCACCACTGATTATTAACCCCTTAAATAATACATTTTGGAGATACTTGTTTTTCTTTGGACCCCTATGAAACATTTCTTTCAGTGTTCCTCCTCCTTTCTTCCTGTTAGTGTGACAATGCCAAAGCACTGAAAGCCTTTTTTGAGGCCATATTCTATGGTCCCAAACACCTGATGGTATTTGGAGGGCTGTGTTCATCAGTGACGTCTATCATCGCTCAGTCTCTGAAGGCCTGGAACCTCCCACAGGTGACTTACTGATGTAGTTATAGATTATAAATAATGAATGATCAATAAATCAATAAAAATGTTAATGTTCGTAACTATATGCGTTACAGCTGTCCTTTGCTGCCACATTACCTGCATTAGCCAATAAAAGAAGATACCCAAACCTCTTCCGCATTGTGCCGTCAAACAGTGCAGTTAACCCAGCACTGGTGAAGTTCCTTAGTTATTATGGATGGAGGAGGGTGGGCACTCTGACCCAGCTGGAGGAGAGGTTCACTGAGGTAAGACCATATCTATGACTAAATATGACGACATATAAAATGTTCTCCCAAATGTAACACTGTACTACAGATGCAGGTCTGTATGAATGATGGATCTTTGCCCTGTTGTAAACACTGATGCATCTGTGGCTTCAGGGTGCTTCTTTTCTGGCTAATGAATCTAATCCTTTCTTAGTTAGCGTTACTGTCATTTTGATAAATTTGAAACAGAGTCATATCTGGGTAGCGCGGTGGTGCAGCGGATAGCGCTGCCACCTCACAGCAAGAAGGGCCTGGGCAACTGGGGTCACCCAGTTAGATGTAAATTCAGGTGGTTGTGTAGAAATTTAAACATTCACCATTAAACTGATCATTTCTCAGATGCTATTATGTTTACTAAACATATATACATCTGGGTGGTCTCTGTCTTCTGTAATACAGGTGCAGAAGGACTTGGCTGAGCATCTCAAACAGGCTGGAGTTGAGCTAGTGGAAACACAGCGGTTCTCTGGTGACCCGTGTGCTGCTATAAAGACACTAAAAGTAAATAATAAAATACAGATGTCCAAACCACTGGAAGAGATTATGTCATCTTTTTAATGACAGATAACAATGTTGACTGACGTATAAGAACCTAGCACCTAAAGACAGACAATACATTGGAAAGATAAGAGTAGAAAAGAGAGGAGTTGCAGAGACAGAAATTTTTGGCCTTCAATAACACACAAATTGAAAATAGTAACAGTGAAGCCAGTCAAGCTGTTTCAGAGCACTGAGTGCAGTTATGGTGCTTTATTCTACCTATTTTTCAAAGTAGCTAAAACAAATCACTGTGTTGATATGTTTTCATCCATGCAAAGATGACTTAAAAGTTTACTGTAGGTGAGAATTTCCTTGATTTCTTACTTGTATCTCTCTGTAAGCCTCACGTCAGTGATCTCTCACTTTGTGCTTACTTAGTTTAATGTGTTTCTGGTGCCGATAGCATAACTATAACGTCTCTTCTATCTTTCTCCATCCCAGGAAAATGATGTGAGGATAGTGATTGGTCAGTTTGATGAGTTTTCAGCTGCAAAAGTCTTCTGCTGTGTAAGTTATCATATCAGTTTTTTTTTTTCATTTACATTGATTTTCTACTCTAATGCATGTGATCTGTCTATAATGCAACATTTTTACACTGAAAACACACAGTGGTGCAAACTCTCTATAGTGTAACCTTTTTACAGTGAATCCTCTCTGTGGTGTAACTTCGCAGTGGTATAATCTCTTTATGGCAGAGGTGTCTGGCCCCAGGGCCAAATGCGGGGGGACAGATTTTATTTGGCCCTTGGCTTCTGTTTTAGAGTGTGTTACGAGAGGCTGGTCAGCCAGCATGTTGCAGTTTTTCGCCTGATGGTGGCAGCAGTGCCGCAAAATTATAATGTATTGCACCACACTGTAATAACAAAGTTAGCTAATGTTTAATAGCCTTTCTTCTCTGACTAGACCTGCAGCCTTATTGACTGAATGACTTTTAGTCAATTCTACAGCCACTAAGCACAACTTAAATTAAACAGTTCATTGTAAGTGCTTACTGATCCTAATTGCTCTGAGCAATTCAACAATAAACGAAGCCTTGTGCATCTTTTATACAGTGATAAGAAACACGGTAGCTCACTAAAGGCTCTAATTCTATTCACTGATATTTTGAAAGCTTAACATTTTGAATCATCTGTGAATAATATTTCAGTCCTTTGGTATTTTGACATGTTCTGACCTGGCTCTCTTTGAAAAAAGTTTGGACATCTCTGCTTCATGGTGTTCTTTTTTCAATAATCTCAGTTATCTGTAGTGTAATCCCTCTGGGGGGAATATCTTTATAGTCTAATGTCTCTGGTAATAAACTCTCCATAGCATAACATAACATGTGATGTTACCTCTCTATAATGTAATCTCTCTATAGTGTAAGATTTAATCTCTCTGTAATGTTACCTATCAGTCATGTAATGTAATCTGTAGCGTAATCCTCCTTACTGTTACTTTTACTATAGAGTAAACCCTCTTAAGTGTGACCTCTCTGATGTTGTAGGTATATCAGCTGGACATGTTTGGCCTTAAATACCAGTGGATTCTCTCAGGCTGGTCAGAGACGAGCTGGTGGACACACACTGGCACCTCCAGCTGCTCTGCTCAGAGTGTACTGAGTGCAATGGAGGGTGCCGTCAGTGTGGACTTTGAGACCCTCAGTTCCCGACACATCAGAGGGGTGTCAGGCAGAGTGAGTTTATGTGTTCAGCAAACAAACTGTTCTTTATTGTTAAACATTACCAATTTAAATTTACTTTTCAGTTTACCAAGAGTCAGCCATTGGTTGAGATTATAATATTCTGAACAGTTTTTCAGATGATCTGAACATGGCCTTATTATGTTATTTAATATTCATCTGGCATTATGAGTGTATATTTGTTCCAGACACCACAAGAATACAAGCAGGAATATGACAAAAGGTGCATGCTGAAAGGTCTGGGTTCCAGTAAGTTCCATGGCTTTGCATATGATGGCACCTGGGTGGTGGCTAAAGCTCTGGCTCGGGTCATGGAGACGCTGAAGTACAGAGAAAAGTACAGCGTACATCGCAACTTTACTGTTACTGAGAAAGAGATGGCTAACATGATACTGCAAGCCATGAGTGACACAAGGTTCTTTGGTGTGACTGTGAGTTTGAGTTTAAATAGTGCTGTAGAAAATAGATTAGACTTAATAGCAGAAGAAATTAACGTTTGCTGCCACTCACAAGAACATGTTCATTTGTATATAGATTTGTACAAAAGATTTCTGCTATTTTTAGGGGCAGGTAATGTTCCGCAATGGTGAGAGGGTGGCAACAATCAAATTTGCCCAGTTTCAAGGTAAATGGGACTGAATTGTTTAATTCAGAATATTTTCTTTTTATCTTTTTATGCTTTCTTTATGAATCTTTTTCATTGATGAATGGTGAGTTTCTTCATGCCTCCACAGCTGGTAGAGAGGTCCAAGTTGGAGGATACAGCAACATTACAGACAGGCTGGAGTTTGCCAGTCCCATCTGGTTCAAAGGTGAGAGGCCATGAGGTAAGGCCTGGTATGTGAAGAGAACTGACATAAAACAGGGCAAATTTAAAACCTGCAGCCTTTTATTGCCCTGAATATGGGGTAATCAAACCATTCAAACACTTAATTTATTGCCCATATACTGCCTAGCAGTGACAAACTGTGATTAATAGAGCTAAGCCTTGAGGAAGGAGCCATAAATGTCAGCTTTGTAGTTTTTATTGACCCTTTCAGTGAAAAACCATGGCATTTCTAAAAACTGACTGAAACCTGGTTAGACTACTGCTTGTGTTCAGTCATTGACATATCTATGATATCCAGAAGGCCTAGAATGATGTTTTTCCCACAAAATTCATTCCACCCACTGTAAATCAAGATGTGATTGGTTGATTCCACTGTCAGGTCCTAATAATGTTGGTAGTAAATCTAACAAATAAGGCATTATGTCCAGTTCCTGAAGGCCTAACCAATGGGACAACTTGGTTGGCTGTATCTGCCTCAGTGTAATGGGAAAAATCCTGATTGGACAATTTTTTGTCAACCAAAATGTAATAATGAAATGAGCAGTGTTTAAATGTAACAACTATGTCTATTATATTAAATAAAAATATGGTTTCATTGGGGTTCATTGGGTTTCTCTGAAAGTTCCCCTCTGTTGCTTATATATTGCATAACTTATATAATGAAAACTTCAATGTTACTGTGCAGGACATGAGCGTACTAGGGACCATACCCACGTGTATCCTCAGAGGATGGAGATCAGCATGGTGCTCTACAGTATTTTAGCATCCATCTCCATGTTAGGCATTCTCACAGCAATTACCTTCCTCTTCTTCAACATCCAGAACTGCAGTCACAGGTGGGCCATATGCTTGAGATGTTGCTGTAACACACAGTCTGTTCATTATTACTCACTACACACTCCTTTAGTGCTGCAGCCTCATCCATCTCTCCTTTTTTAGGCCTATTCAGTGACATTCTGCTATAAAAGAGCTGCATTATTGTACTATTACTTCTATTTTATTGTATTACATACTTGGTTTTCTTGTTTAAGAGACAGATACAATGAAATGTCTTGGTGGGTTTTATACATTTGGAAACAAACTTGTGTAAGTGCACTTACACATCGCTCTTTTCATACTCAGGGTGGTCCAGATGTCCAGCCCTTCACTGAACACTCTGCTAATCCTGGGAACTCTGTTATGTTACTCGTTCATCTTCCTCTTTGGATTGGATGGTTCATATGTGCCTGAAGGAGTGTTTGATGCTCTGTGCACTGTAAGCTTTAGTAACATTTTAACGCTGCTCATTCAGGATGATTGTTTAAACTGATGCAGTCTAACAGAAAACATCAGTTTATTATTAAAGAGTCTTTTTCTGGCACAGGTCAGAATATGGCTCATAGCCATTGGACACTCAACAGCTTTTGGGGCAATGCTTGCCAAAATATTGAGACTCCATGACATCTACAAGAGCATCAGCTTTCAGAAAAGGGTAAGGGAGATTAAATTTCAGGTGTTGTTTCTAAATAAACAACAAAATGTAATGAAATAGTATTTTACAAAAATGTCATTAGTTTCCATTAGTTCACTTATAATGATAATCACTTCTCAAACAAAAGATCTGAACTGTCCTCCCTGTTGCAGAACATAAAGAACTGCACGCTTATTGGAATAGTCTGCGGTCTGCTGCTGGTGGATATGTGTTTCTTATTTAGCCTGCAAGTTTTGGATCCTTTGCAAGGAACAGTGGAGGAGTTCAGTTTGGAGGTGAGATTTGATGATAAGGGGTGAACATCGATATCTAAAACGTTTACCCTGTGGACTTTGTCAGCATGTGCACTATTCAAGGCTGTTTTCTGACAATTTGGCAGATGTAAGTGCCATCCAGCATGGTAAAAGGGGATTCTTCTAAACTTCTGCATGATTAAATTAAAATGTGCAAAAAGTAATTTGCTTTTGCGGGTCAGAATCATTCTCAGAGAAGGTAGGAACCAGGCATCTGAAGCTACATCACAGAAGAATATTACAGGAAATGGTTCTTAATATGTTGCCTGATGTCTGAGACAATGTTTTACAATAGTTTGTGATATACTTTTGGACCTAAACAAGTGGAGAGGTACTTGCAGGGCATTGTAAGGGAAAACAGCACCTAGAAAAAACTTGTTTTCGAGTTTTGCCTCTATTTATCCACTAGGCTATACATATTTGTGTATATATCCTGACCTCTGGTTCCTATTACCACAACTGTAAAGAAACCTGAACCATGACTTCATCAACATTGAACAACTCTGAATGAATTTATTTATATCTCAGTGGTTTAACTCTGAAGACGTTTTCAAACTCAATAACTTGTTACAGTCAAAAGGATCAAAACACTGGCAGACATGGGGATCAGAGGTGAATCCATTATTATAAGCACAGAAACACAAAACCAAACATGAAAATATAGCTTAAAAATTATTTTACACAAGAGAATTGCTCTGTCTTTGTGATTTGCTCTAGTTTGATCCTCATGGTAGAGATTTTGCCATTCGGCCATTTTTGGAGCACTGCGAGAACATTCATATGAACATCTGGATGATGATCATGTACCTTTATAAGACTCTGCTAGTGGTAAGGTTTGTCTGCCTGCTATAATTTATTATTCTGCCATGATTAGACTATTTTAACATTAACTAGTACCTTTCTAATGTCATATGGCACTGTGGCAGTTTGACTTCAGCTAATCTTCCTGATGTATCTCCTGTGTTGTCTAGCTGCTTAGCTGTGTCCTGGCCTGGAAGACACGACACTCAAACATGCTCACTCTGAGCCTCAGCGGGTGTACTCGGATCAGCGTGTGTATCGCAGGCCCTTTAAGTGTCATTGGTGCCTTTCTGGCTTTACTGACCAGAGATCAGCCAAATATGCAGTTCTGCATTGTGGGTGTCGTCATCATCACCTGCTGTTCTGTCACTCTGAGTTTGGTCTTCGTTCCAGAGGTTTGGCATAATTGTCTTTTCTTATGTTTCTTACTTATAATAAGACCCATTAGCAGGAGTCACTGATGGACATGTTTATTTGGTCACTAAATATATGCAAATGTTTTAACACCTCTGGTCAGATTACATGTTTTGTTGATTTTCTAAGTGAAGTTACACATTAAATATAGCATTTAAAGGGGCTTCTGCATTTTAAGTGTAATATTTCGATTAATTTGCTTTTTTTTTGAGCATGTTGGGGAAAAAAATTATATAAAATGTGGCATGACTTTTACACAGGCCACATGTTATATTTTTTCCAAAATGTTAAACTTAGCAAATAAACAGAAATGAAAGAGTATTAAAATGTGCAGAAGTGTGTTCTCTGTAGAAGATGTGTTAGCTTATTTTCGCTTAGAAAATCAACAAAATGTAATTTTTTTCCCATTTTGTTTTATAAACGTGTTGGCATTTTAAAGCTGGACATTGTCTATACATTGTACAAAGAACAGCAGAGATGTAGCAAGATCCTCAGTTTTAAGCAAATTCTAGGCCTTTTTTCAGTTTTTTCAGTATGTTAGAACATTTTTCACAATCACAATTTTATCCTTACCCTAAATGTAGTTAATTGGCCAAGAAGCTTACACCTCCTTACTTCTAAGCAAACCTTGGTTGAGTTCGCATTTTATTATGCATTTTATTAATATTTATTATTATATATTATTTTTTGTCTGCACCAAACAAAGGAAAATTTAATATCAGAGCTTTTTTCTCTTTTTCTAGCAGTACATCTGTGCTGTACTTTTCACACAATCTCATTGTTGTAACATCTGACTTTTCACAGACACTCATCTTTCTTGAAGCATGAGCTGCTGCTAATAGTGGCTGATTAGTCTCAGCCTTAGGTACTCCGCCCATGTGTAAACATAGTGGCAACTCATATGTCTGTGTTAACATGCTTCCATGCAACACATTTTATTTGATGAGACAGAAACTTGGCAAGCACTTATCCACTATATGTGCCATGACTGAGCCTTACAGAGCAAGATATAGCTACTGGATTGAAAAAGGTTGTTAAGTTTATGGCTTTGCATATTCAAAAGTTATTCAAAAGCTTTCTTTAAAGCATTTAGTAGCTTTTAAACATGTTTGCCCACACATAGTGATGCGTTCCCTACAAGATTGTTTTTCTTGTAGCACTGTTTGAAAATCATGCCACAACACCAGTTTGTGGTTGGTTATTTTGCATGTCAGTTAAACGGCCGTTTTCTGTCAAAGTTCCTGGCCACATTAAGAGAAAAGTCTGGGTTGTGATATTAATGGCAGATGAGCAAAAAATAATAGTGAAGCACTTGATTTTGTCACAAGGGCCACGGATTGTATTTTTGATAAGTTAGGCCAGGCATCGACAGCCTTCATGCATCTTAATAACTAGGGTTATACATTTTATTAAGCATAGATGAGGGATAGGTCTACATTGCGTACTGTGATAGGCTACTGAAAGTCATAATAAAAATAGGAGGTTTTTGGCAGTGATGGAGGCAAACGTGAAAGTAACAGAGGACTGGTATCCCTGCCAAATTCCTGACCAACCAAAGAAACACCCATGTGTCATTTGGTGCACTTTAGCCATTGTAACTGACCAAATTAAAATAAAACAGCATCACAAAATCTTGAACTTTAGCAAAAGAACTACGTGTGAAAACGTCTTAGACACTAAACATGTCTTGGCACGACTACATTTAGCATACGAAGAAATCTGTGTAAAGTGGATTTTTCTCCAAAGTATCAATACTTAAATCAACACTTCAGTCACTTATTTTGAAACATTCTGGTGATAATCCTTAAAACTAGGTTATTTGTTTTATCTACCAACAGTCCCCAGGAGTGCTCCCATTTGATTAGCATATCAGAGATGTGGAACCATGTTTGACTTTTGACTTCTGTAGTTATTAGCAACATCAGACGTAGAACTGATAACACAATACTTCATTGAACTGTGAAAGAGATCTAGATTAGTGTCTATCTGATTCCAACTCACTTCTATTTCAACAGATAATCCTGATGAGGACAGACCCTGATGGAGTGTCCCTGTCTAAGCAGTTCCACTCTGCTGAAAGAGAGAAAGAGAGTGAACGAGTGAGTGAAGAGAAGGAAAGCACCAAGCAGACGGACTCCAGTGCATCCAGCTCTATGACACTGATCAGCACAGCTCTACTTGACCTCCTACAGTCAGACAATAAACATCTGACCATGTGCATCAGTGAGGTATTCATTTACGTTATTATGTTGATACCTGAAGTCCTGTATTTGGCTGCACTGCCATGCCTGTTTCTTTTATTTTTCAATGTTCTTCTTGTGTACTTGCAGCTAGACATGGAGCTGGAGGAACTGACCAGGCAACTGAGGGAACTGAGCACTCTCTCATACACAAACATGGTGAACATGCAAGACTCTGGGGAGCAGACAGGTAGGAGGAGATACATTTTAATCTTTTTCATTAAGTGTTCAAGGATTCTTGATCTGCATTTGTAATCTATAAAGTCTGCTAAAAATGGTAAGACCATCAAAGATTTCATGTTGTTATTGGTCAGTGTGCAGCAGCTCTGTGGAGTAATTGCATCTGTAGAACACGGCTCACTTCTTTTCTGAGATGGTTAGTCAAGGAAAGAGAAAGACAGAGAGCAATGGGACACAGTGATGAATCATGGCCTACTGCAGCAGGGCTGGGCTGTTTTGTACTGTTGATTATACCTTAATCATAGGTGATTATACCTTAATTTGTGTGCGTCATTCATTATTTTGAATGGCTATGAGGAATCCTCTAACTTCTGGGAAATAGCATTCCTTTTCATGGATGCAGGAAACAGAGCTGCTTAAAACTGCTGCCAGATGGATTACAGCTAGTCCTTAAGACTCTCCTCTAAAGCTCCGCTCTACCTCAATGGGGAGGTGCAATATGTTTGAGGCTTTATGTATGAAAACATCTCAGGAAATCAAGGATATCACTGTTTAATATTAGCACTGCAGGTTTTTGATGGGCCTACTCCCAGAAAACAAAGAGACATGGATTTGGCACTGAAATACAGTGAAAACTGAGCATGTAATGCTAAATAGCATTAGTTTAATGTTGATATTTGGTACACTTTCCAAATCTAAAAAGGTGATGTTGAATCAACCTTGCGATCAGGAGAATAGTTCAACACTGAAAAGCAGGGGCTATTTAAATTTCATATTTTTCATTTTTAGCATTGGAATGACACAGTGTTGTGTCAGTGTTGATATTTTGTTTGCATTTCTTAATGTAGAACAACTGAGGTTGATTAAACATTTATACCTGTTTTGTTGACTTAATATTAAATAGATGTTCAGTCGACATTGATAAAAATTAGGTTTTCATCACTGAAAATTTTAATAAGCCATATGATTCCTGCATGAAGTGTCTTAAAGTGTGTTTAAAGAGGAATTTCTCCAATTTTTCAAACTTTCAAATTCTATAAATAAATGGTTAAGATGTAAACAAAGTCATTCTGAGTGGTCTGATGTGGAATGCTCTTTTCTAGAGAAATTTATCAAGTCAACTTACATTGGTGGTGATAGAAATCAGACATCTGAAGTGTTTAATGACTCTTAAAAGCTCCCTCTCAAAAATTTCTTGCATGAATTGGTTACAAATACACTACCTGATGCCCAAGATATTGTTCTGTGATTGCTTTGAGATCAGGCTTTGGCTTAAAACCATTTTTTTAATGCATTTGTGGTGGAGGGGTACATGCAGAGCATTGTAAGGCAATGTAGTCCCCACCGAAAACCTATTTTTTCAGATTTATGAGCATTTTACTATTATTGACATTACACATAAAACTCAGAAGACATGTGTAGGTTTACTAGTCATTTTGGATAGTAAATAAAATGCCTGTATTTGCATTGTAGACATCGTGACCCCTGGTTCATATCACCACCATTGTAAAGAAATCCAAATTGGTAAGTTTCTCTACAGTGAATCATTTAACATCAAACTACTCTGAATGACTTAGTTTACATCTCAACAACTAGATTATGCAGAAACTTTGAACACACTGTGGAATTCCCCTTTAACTATTCAGAAAAAATATGTCTTTTAATAGGCAAAATAGACAAATGCATTGGATTTAGTGATATCTCTGAGATTGCACAATATTAGCACTAGAGCATTCTGGAAATTGTTCACAACACTAACAAATACAGATTACATAATTACATAACTAATTTGTATTTTAAATACGTATTTTAAACATATCTATCAGGAATTCGGACCAGCACTGCAAGTCTGTTGGCACTGTAGGATATAAATACTCAAAAAAATGGCTTCTTTCTCTACAGGCAGAGAGAAATGTCAAACGCTTCCAGTGGGCTGTAGTGGCAGCAAAGACACAGAAGACATCAACTCTCCCGAACAGTATGTTAAATATGATGCTTAATGTGTACTTGGTGTAAGTGAAAGGTTTGGATTAAGCAGTGCTATGGTTTGCTGAAGGTGCAGAATAATGTGAAATGTTCTGAATGTTTGACTGATTTGGTCTGAGTGTATAATGTTTGTGGCTGTTATTATGGGGTCAGACAGGTGTACCTGTGTTGTGACATTGTTGCAGAGTAATTCACCAAAGCACACAGTACTGTACAGAATGTGTTATAAACTACAGAAGACTTATGGTCATTACTGAACCGTGTTTATCTAGCTGCTGTGAGGTAGTGGTTGTTGCAAAACTGTTTGACATGCTGAATGTAAGGTTGATGAGTGTATTTTTCTCACTGGCGTGTTTCTGTGCAGTGTCCAGCGGAGACTGTCACTGCAGCTGCCTATTCTTCACCATGCCTACCTGCCCTCTATTGGAGGAGTGGATGCCAGCTGCAGCTCCCCTAGCAGCCCCAGCACACAGCACATAGCACTTAGGGGCCACTGGCACTAATGGGTCTACAAGCCAGGCTTCTGAATCTGAGTCATCAGAGTCTGGCAGGTTTCGGCTCTCAACGTGGCCAACATGAAACTGATTGCTGCTGGTGACCAGCTAGCATTTTGCTTGATAAACAAATGTTTGGTTAACATCAGACTGGTAAAAACTGTGTATACCCACAGCAGCGTGAACATCCAATCAGAGTGTGAGAAAATGCCAGCAGTTTTGACCATTTTAGGGTAAAATAAACATCAGATGGTTCATGTTGCTCTGTGGGCAGAGTGTCTGGTGCTGATGAGGCTATGGCATTAATGGGACCAAAGCCCAAGACCCCACAGCATCCTGCTCATGTTCATGTATTTCACTATAAAAATGCACTTTGTGAAAATTTCATACAGAGTTTGTCTTCAAGGGCATAAATGTCTTCTGTTTAAATCTTTAACATATTGCATAACATTCATTATTTCCATACTCATTGGCCCATTAACTACCACTACTGTGCTGTTAAGGACAGCCAAACATGATAGCAAACAGACTTAAGAGGAAAGCTTGAGTGAGAGAGAAGGATTTTGCCTGCTGTTATGGGCTGAATGGGTTATGTGCACTATATCATCCATTTTTACCATTTGTTCATGTTAACAACTTTTTTTTCTGTTTTAATGATTTAGTTCTGTTGGAGTGTTTCTCCTTGCACACTCATCTTTACGATCTGCACAATAATTAAATATAATGATATAGTATGGCTTGTTTATACAAACCTCTAAATCAGATATTTCATTCAAACGCCTGCATTGCTAATGTAACCGCCAAATGAATGTTATGGACACAGGAAGCAAGTCTGCTGCTTAAAGTTGTGGTGACACTATTTTGAGTGGTCCTTTTTATATTAAATATACACTCAACAGACTCTCAGGAACACAGCAACAACATATCACTGATGTAGCAGCAGTGAATACATTCAGTAGATTATCAAGAGTTGTTAACCTGAGAGGTCACTGAACATGTAACCGGTTTTATACAGACCATCTCAACATCCTCAACAAGCCATTATAGGCATGCTGCTTCTCCATTCTGTGAGTGGATCTTAACTGGATTAGGTTTTGGGTTGAGGTTAAGGTTAGGGTAAGAGTTAGGATTAGGGCCAGGTGAGGGTTTTGCTTAATGGAAATACCATTTAAAGTCTACTTTATGAAACGTATACATCTACTCAATGCAAGTATCAACAGTACTTCAAGACATTTGCCTCGATGTTTTCAGATGCTGCACCACAGCTACTTCACTGATATGTTACTTATACTCTATTAAGAGTTTATTAACCATCTACAAAGGACCACTCAAAATAAAGTGTTACCAAAGCTGTTAATGGCTCAGGCTCACAATGCATTAGCATATAACATTTATATTGGTGTAGATACAACCATTCTTCTATGTCATTTGAACACAACAGCTGCCCTTTACATTGCATAAACACTTCATAATGCATGGACCACTAAAAATGATTGAAAATGACTCTTGCTACATTAACTTGCATTAACAATGTTTTTGCCTTCTCTTGTCAAAAATACACTGTTGTGAAACAAAGCACAATAAAGTTAATAAGACCTAGCAGGCTAATTTCCCAGAAGCATCACAGCATAATGGTCACTGCAGGAAAACTGCAACAGCTGACATTAGTTTAACAGTGCAGACATCTCAGAAATCTTGGCTAAGGTTGTTTTTTCTTGGTCCTTGATGTGTGTTTTATATTTGACTCTGTTAGCAGCGTCGCTGATAAATGTCACATTTCTGTTGATTAAATGGAACTAATGAAACATGATGTTCTGTCTTTATCTTTATCATGTTATTAAGTTAGCAGCTCTGCATTCTTTACACAAGCATGTCTCATCCAGAGTGGAGCTAATATTTATCTTGCCATTAAACACTAGTGATGTCCTCATACTCAACTCACTCCACTGCTGGGATTATCTGATGATACTGATACTGCCAGCAATAAAAGTTCACATCTGTTTATTCCTGTGCAGGAATTTAGCTTCTGTCAGTACATATTGTGCTATCCAAATCTCAGGCACTGTCAGCACTAACCAACATCACAATATCATCCCTTTCATTTTCCAAACTATTACACAATCATTGTTTGGATCTGTGTTGATTTCATCATGCTGGAATTTCCCCACAACCAGCAGGACAGGGTTTAGAAAAGTACTCCCTCTATAAGTATTCCAGAATTTCTCAAACACTGCATTTAGGAATACACAAATACATCTCAAATGAAAGTAACATGTCTGTATCTGCCAATGTTAGTGGAATTTGACCAAACTTTACCACCTGGCAGTGTCAAAGACCTTAATGAAAGCTGTCTCGGAGAAAAACTGGGAGGACTCTCAGCTGTTGTGCAAGTTTGCTCTTTCCCAATCCCGTGCCAATGCTTGTCTTGTTGTTTTTTAAACAAAATTGATCTATGAGGGACTGTCCAGGCCAAGGAGGATGGTACGACCTGCTTAGTATAAATACACTGTACTCTGCTGCCTGCATTCACTCTCAACACACCTCAGAACATTAAAGCTTCTTCACAAGCCATGATGGGCTTTAAGATTGTTCTCGGTCTGGCTTTGCTGGCCACAGTGCTACTGCTCACTGAATGCTCTTGGGGCACAGGTAAGTTACATCATAAGTTGCTGTTTTGCTTTTGTTCTTGCATTTTGGCTGGCTTGCATCTCTGGTGTTGAGGTTCAGAGAGGAGTGCAGGCATTCTCAAATGGGCTGAGGTGACAGTGAATGATAATGAATTTGCTCCTTATGTTTATCCAGGAAAGGGAAACTCCTATAGCTATGACCTCTCCAAAATGTCTGACCTGACGAAACTGTACAACTCCAAAGTGTATCAGGCTGACCGAATGAGAAGACCCCTGGAAGGCTTGTCTTTCCAAGCAGGCTTACTCAGTCACTCTGGAGTGAGGTAAGATCTTTTTGTTATTTAAATCTCAATAAAGAAGATAAATGAATGCATATCTAAAGGTAATAGTGATCACTGTTTTATCTGTGTTCCGACACTTGGTGGAACATCTACTCATTTAATTTCTTTTTCTAACTTAATAGTTTTATTGGCCATTTAAATGATGTGAAAATGCATTCTATTAGCGGAATGGCATCAGAAGTTTTAAACGAATTTGGACTTTAAAAGAATAGTTTGGAGAAAAATTACATTTACCCAATTTTTCCATACCCCAAATGTAGCTGACCAGCAAAAAAATAAAAAATGGCAGCTAATATTGTTTTCACCTATGTCAAGTACTTCTGTTCATTTTTAGAGTTTTAGATACTAAACTGGCTGATCGATTTTAGATTAGAGGAAAATTGTGCAAACTTCACTATAACTTTAATTTTCTGCTCAAGACTGTTTAATTTCAGAATGGTGTGTTACACTTGCAGAGTGACACTGGAAGATGGCACTAAGTGGCTGGTGCACAAAGGAGACGGCTATGGCATCTCATCCCAGACGGTGGTGGTGGATGCTCGTCATATGAGCCCCAGCTGGAAGGTGAAGGCTTATCCACTGCTTCATAGCTGTATGGGTGATAATATCACTCAGTGAAATCTATTCATGTTCTCTGTGTAACGTTAAATAAGTAAAATCATATTTATCTTGCTTATTGTCAGAGCTTAATGGAGTTTTTTTGTTTGTTTGTTTTTTTCTCACAGATCATTGAGACCAAAAACTTTCGTGGGAGTAAGAGAGTAGCTGACTTTGTGAAAGAAGGAGGAACAGATTACAGTCTCATCTTTGACAACTGCCATGATGCCTCAGGAAGGATGATGGGGGGAAGTTAAATCCAGAGCTTCACACCGAACTACAGGCTTTTGCTTCACTGATGTGTAGTTTTGCACTTTCTGTTTTAGTCCTGCTGAACACGATGTGCTCTAACTTTAATACTTTAATACTTTAGACTGGAAGCCACTGATCAAAATATCATTTTTCCAAAGGCAATAAAACATCTTCATCAAGAAATACTGAGAAATGACTTTCTAGAGTTTTTTTTCTCTTTTGACTGTGCTTTGATAAGAAATTGTATGTTAAGGTAAATGAACAAAGCAAGAACAGAATTCAAGTCAGTTCACCTGTTAAATGCTGTTACATTACTGTATAATGATTACATTGCAAATATAAAGACAGATTCTGACTAACTTACCAAAGCAAAATCACAAATTCTACAAGCTGCACAATGTTATGCAGAACTGCATATATTCAATGCATATATTCATTGTAATGTTTAACCAGTACCTTACCAGTTGACCAACCGATATATTAGTGTTATATTACCAATAAATCAACATTTAAATTGAACATTAATGGCTAATTTCCCAGACCCTGATTCAGCCTAAGCCTAAGCTAAAGGATTTGTAATGGAATGGAATTTAAACACTTCTACTATTGCAATTAAAGGGCCCATATCATGGAAAATTAAATTGTTTAAATTCAAACATCTCTAAAATTTCAAAACATACCATTCACTCTCCAGTCCATACAGTCCACACATGCAAACAAAGCTGCAAAAACAGCCTGTTATGAACTCCTTGTTTCTGTGATGTCAGAAAAACCAATGCATTTAAACACATCCGCCCATTCAGCCTGCAGCAGTTTAAAGGATTGTCTCAGCCCAGCTTGTTTTCAAACTGAGGCACGACACGGGGCAGCCAGTCAGATCTGAGATCACTTTTAAGCAACATATTGAAAAACAGAAAAACAGAAATTATTCATATCTCTGATAGCAATCCAAAACAGTTTCAAGATGCTATAAACTATAAACAAACCTTTGTACTGTAGTAAATGAATAGTGGGTTTACTTTCAGCACATATATTACTATTCATCTGCTGTGGTCTTTCTTGGGTGGCCTGACTGTTGCAAAGTGCTTCATGGATTCTTTTTTTCTTTAAAATATTCCACACTGCTGTTTTTGGAGTGCCTAATTGCTCTGAAATGTTCTGAGGGCTGATACCAAATGCATCCAATAGTTTCTTGATGGGATCTAAAGGTGTTCTACAGGAAACTAGGGGTCTCTAATTCTCATTACAAACTAAAATCATCAGGTTTCCATCTGAATGGTCCTTTTTTTCAGCAGGCATGGATCACCTGAGCAATCAGAATTACCTGTCATTCATTTTCCCAATACTCAGCTGGAATTGGTTCACACAACAAATGACGTATGCAAAACATTCCCAGAAAAATTCACAGAAACTATTAAAAGTCTCTGTTGGTTTGTGGTGGTGTCCAGTAGTCACTAATGGTATTTTGTGTTTTCCTGATCGGTTGATATCACAGTGTAAAGCACATGTGTCAGGCTCCAGCCCTCGTGGGCCAAAGCACTGCAGACTTCATCATGCTGCCTCATTAAACACACCTGATTCAGCTCTTCAGCTAATTAGCAAGGCCTTCATGAACTGTATTCAGAGCGTTAGATGAGGGTAAACGCTGATCTCCACAGCACTTTGGCCCGGAAGGTTCCCAGTCTAACAGGCCTGGTGTAAAGTATTCCAGATGCATCTGATGCTTTCTTAATGGGATCTAAAGAAACTAGTGGTCTCTAATAGAAAGTAAAACCATCAGGTTTTAATCTAATTCTGATCAGGATGATTTACCGCATTGTCTTAATATATGTTACTCCCCACTGTACTTAAACTGAACAGTGAGTTTAACAGTGAATCTGAACGCTGCTGCTGTTTGATAGTGAAGCCTCCACAGCGGTAGGGGGCGATAAATGGCCGCTTCACCACCAGGGCTCAGAGTGAGAAGAGAATGAAGAAGAGCAGGTTGCAGCTAGATGGGTTTCTAAACTCTGCAGATATTTAATGCATAATTTCCGCATATTAAAGTCATTACTGCGTGGATAAAAGGATAATAGCCCAATGCTGAGCGGACGTGGATCAGAGTCTGCAGGTCAGAGAGCTCGAGCAGTGAAACACCTCAGAAACAGACCACACTGTTCAGGTGCTGTGTGGATGCTGCTGCTGTTGTGCTGTTTTTCTTCACATACTGTTTTTGTAAATAGTTATGTTGGACATTTTGCTGGATATTTTGTCTCTGTGTCCAAAATTCATTGAAATATCAGGTCAATTTTGTGTTTTAATTTCGCTCAGTTCTGAAGTGACCGTGTGAAAAGGCTAGTAGGACTGATATCCCTGCTGAAAAATAATCTGAGAAAACATTGCAAGTCCCTGTTGGTTGGAGTTTTTCTGATGGGTTGATATGACAGTGTAAAGGACTGTAATGGTTTAACAGGTGTTCTGTTACTGATTCCATTATTTTTTCTGGTATCTTTGTTGTGTAGACATAGTCTATTAGTCTAAACCCCCATATTAATGTATGTAGTCAAGACATTCTTGAGTGTCTCAGTGGCCTTTTTTACATTTCTTAAGAAATTCGCAGGTGATTAACATGGAGTTCAGTGGCAGCTTGTCTCAGAATAACTAGAATAACCAGCTGTTGGCCTTGATGTAGCCAGACTTTGGTGTAATATCAAGACTAATATCCCAATACTGATACCAGTAAATTTAGGCTCAAAGGGGAGAATCAACATTTCATACATCTGTTGGCTAATTAAAAAACTCTCCTGATTCACTCTTGACATTTACATCTGCCCAGATTGTGTAAATTCTTCAATTTAACAGCAATTTATTGGTACTTTTAAAGCAGAACAGTCTGAGTTTCTCAAGTCCAACACAACCTTATTTGTTTCATACATACATATATTACTATTAATATCATTATTATTATTATTATTATTATTATTATTATTATTATTATTATTATTATTATTAACCTTAATGAACCTTATTTCTTTTCACACATACAGCTCCATGTGAAAATTTCCTCCTTGCCCCTTTCACTGACTGAACTGAGTGTTATAGCCTGCCTCAGCGTGGTCAGCAGGTTGGGATAAAGACACAGATACGGTGAGTGGAGAAGCATAAAGTGTTTGTCTCCTTGACTGAATTTTAGTGAGGTTTTTTTTTTTGTCAAAATGTAAACAAAGTGGTTTGATGAGAAATGGGTCGTTCTTGATAAATTTAGTCAGAACTGTTCACAGTGGTGGTGATGGGAACTTTGTCTGATACCTGAGAGATTTACAATTAGGTTCCGATCTAAAACATTTTTTTTAAGATCTGTTCATGGTGGTGAGATACATGCAGGACGTTGTAAGGCAAAATAGTGCCCAAAAAAACAAATACTACACATAAACTCCAAAGACACATGTACATTCGCTGACTGTGTCGGGTAACAATTAAATGACTATGTTTGCTATCCAACATTACAACCCCTGGTTCCTACCACCACCACTGTAAAGAAACTTGCCTTTAGCCTTTATCTGTACCACTCTCTGAAACCTTCTCCTAGACTGTTCCTCAGTAACATGAGTGATTGGACTGTGAAGACAGAGGATGCTGACTGTCTCCTCCAGACGGACACTGAAGCAGTGCAAGCAGGCAGTGGAGCTCAGTGTAAACTGGAGTGTACAGACTTCATGATCTCTGAAGTGTTTAGTCTCAGTTCAGGGCCTTCACTGCCTGTGATGGTGGAGACCTTTCCACAAAATGGTGAGAATAACTGATATAAACTTCAATTCTAAGGTCACATAGGTTATCAAAAATTGTGATGTTATTTTCCCAACGTTCTTACTCTCCCACTCTCGCTGATTATCTCTCAGATGTTGCTCCAACTGAAATGACATACATAAATGTAAAGATGGAGAATCCGGATGATCAGACTCCTGATGATACTAAGTGTAAATCGAATGATCAGGTATCAGTGGGTGGAGATACAAGTAGCCCAGCTCCTGAACTCTGCGAAGAACCGGAGCAGTTCTGTGGCCGTGCCAGTAAAGGTGAGTGCCTAAAACATTGTATGTGATGCACTGTGGTACAGTTAATGAACACTGTTTAGTAGGGCTGCAACTATCTGGTGTTTTCAGTGTTCTATAAGGATAAGAAAAGCTTGAGGCATGTTTCATTTTAGTGACGGTGTTAAAACACAAACCAGATTTGTTGTTATTAGTGTTTTTGTTGTTGTTTTTTTTTATTCAGTAAACTGCAAAAAAAACATACCTGATATAAAATGAAGAGTTCCAAAGCTAATCAAACACCAGTTTCTCACTTTTCTTTTTTTATTAATGACACAGAATGCTAATAAGCATATGTATTAATTATAGCTGCGCATGTTACAAGGAAGCATGTTTGTGTAAAGTCAACCTGAAATCAAAATGGACTTCTTTTTACTCTTGTTAGTACATATAATAATAAATAAATGTGACCCTAATTAATCTCACAACGGGGAAATTTCACCTCCGCATTTTAACCCATCCGTGCAGTGAAGTGCCACAGGCACACTAAATTCAAACTCTAATGACTGCCTTTGAAACGTGTTGCGATTTTTGATTACATCACCAGTGGGCAAGAAGAACAATATTAACCAGTAATATCACATTTTACTCTACCTATCATCAGGATAGCTCAGACACCCTCCCTGATACTGTGTTCCATATAGAAAATGCATCACGGTGTGGAGGAGAAAATGCATTATGATTTCCGGTTTTATATTAAGGAGAAGTTTCTTTTCAAACACAATATCTGCCACAACTGCATTAAACTAATAAAACATAGCACAGAAAAGTTAAAGCTCTGTGGTTGAGGAATTTTAACTTCGGCTGGTTTCACACCAGCTATGTCAATAAGTATCCATTTCAGACTTTCACAATTTTATCAACTGTAATGTAGGCTAAAGAAGTTAGACGTATAGATTTTTAGGGGATTTGGAGACAATAAGATCTCCAGAGATCAGAGTCCATATTGAGCCCCAAACTGAATTATGTGACAGATTGCAAGATTGACAGATAGCTACCAACTTTACTCTCAGAACTTTTGTTATCGTCTGTCTAAATCCAGCTCAGAATCCTTCGGTCAATGTGGAAGATATGACAGCTCTTTAGAGCCATTGAGCCTCATTCACCAATATCTTGCCAAGTTTATTCTTAAAGTTGTTCTTGAGAAGGGTCTAAGGAAACAGTCTACGTCAGATTCATGACGTGTTCTTAAACAGCAGAATTGTTTGCACTATGTGCTCTTGAGTGTGCGTAGATTCTGTTCTTACCTAAGAACAAATTCCAAATAAGAAAACACTGATGAATGTCAGAATCGTCGTGAAAACTGCGTAAGTGGGTTTTAAAAAGAAATTTGTTCTTAAGAGCGGTTGGTGAATGAGGCCTATCCTTGCATTTTGATAAATATTTTGTTTCCCTATACAAGTCTATTAGCAAGCAAATGTTCTTTAATAAATAAGAAAAAAATACAATACAAAATACTTATCTTGGGTGCCTAATTAAAACTAAATCACCAACATTTTTTTTTTTTCACATTTTGAAATGGAACTCAGAACTGGAATGCAAAAACTACTAATCTGGGGATCCAACCCAGTCTGTTAACACTGACAACACACAGTAGGAAAGTGATTTTGTATTGCGTCTGGAGTAAAAGGCTGATGCTGTCGCCTCAGATTAGTACTCTTAAACACATCAAATATTTCATTTTTTTCTGGCTTCATAAAAGTGGTCAAAGAACTGTTTATTGGATTTATTTTACCATTTTCCAATATTTGCTGTTGATTTTTGTCAGTTGCAGCCCTATTAATTAGTCTGTCATGTATGGTATTCTCAATAGCTTGGCATTGAACAGGCTGATAAAGACTGCTATTTATCAACTTGATTTATTTACTGGTTACAAACGAGGTTTAGCACAAAAATGCTACTCAAAACAGACTTTGTTTAATTTTGCATGTGGGCCCATGTTTATAAAGCTGCTCAAAGAATGCTGATCTAAGATTGGATTCTTTTCTTATTTACATTGACCTTACCTTACTGACAGGGACAGACTCTAAATCAGCACCTGCTCTGAGCAGCTTTATGACATGCACTGCAAAGAAAAGTGTTTGAACTGAACTAAGAGAGAGCAAGACTTTGTGAAGCCAAAAAGGCACAACATCCAGGTATGGATTTTTTTTTAAATTTAGACGATAATTGCCTCGTATTTGCATCAGATCTGGTTGAACACATCGAATTAGTCTCTGTTACAAAAACATGCAAGGCTAAAGCTGGTCCTGCTCCTGTCCTGTAGAACAGCATAGTTATCCATTTGGGGTTAGTAAGATTAATTTGAGTCCTTTTCTTGAGAAGTTTTGATTATTACTACTATTGCATTATTGCATTATGAGCTATATGATTTATGAAGTTCAGCAAACTTAAGCAGTGAAGGCAGGCATTTCATTGTGTAGTTAGTGGCCTAAAAAAAGCCAGAACCCACTGGCAGGTCCAAAGTTTTACTACACACTTGTATAACCTAAGAGTAACTCGGCCAGTGTGCATTGTAATCCATGTAGTCATTGAATAAGAAGTCTTAGGATATAATAAGCTGGGATTTAAGGGGTTAATTGAGGGACAATACACAGCTTATTTACATGTCTTAAAGACATATGAACAAAAACAGTCTGTTTAATTCTAAGCAGGAAAAAGAGGTTGGAAAATGGCTTTATAAATATGAATTGTGACTGTGTAGATATAAGCAAATTTGCTGGGGGAAATATATGAAAAAGAGTGTACATTCTCTTTAAGACTCAGGTTTGTTTAATTTTACTTAGAATAATGTGTAGGGTTGCTTTGTTGAACATGTCATTGAGATGTGTGCAGTGTGATAAATTGTATTTCTTAAAACTAATGGAGCATACAAGCTAAACTAAACAAGAGTATTGCACATAATATATGACTGACTGGTGTGAGGCACTATTGATTTTGCCCCACACTTACATATATGGTCATCAAACTCTGATACCAAAAACTCCTTTTTGAAAATGTAGAAACACAAATGTTTAAACATTATGCAGATTTGTTGAATTTGTTGAACTTGGCATGTAAATCTCTGCACATTTAGAAAGCATGGGTATTCAGTATACTTAATTTAAGGAATCAGAACTTGAACATAATTATCACAGAGCAAACTCTAAATAAGCAAATTGGTCACACCCCAATCCGAATCTCAGGATGAATAAATCGGGCCACAGGTGCGTTCACATGCATTGGACCAGTGGACCGCAGCAATGCAAAAGGAGCTGGACGAGAAGGACCACAGCAGAGAGGACGTGGAAAAGGAGGAGGAAAGAGAACGTCGGTCTCCAATGAAATTCGTGCTACTTTGGTTAACCTTGTCCTTGTCCATGGAATGTCAATGAGGGAAGCCGGACAAAAGGTCCAGCCAAATTTGAGTCGCTTCACTGTTGCATCTATAGTCCGGACCTTCCGACAAGAAAACAGGTAATTTTTTTGTTCTTCTGCATTGCAGTAATATGACATTGTAGAACTATTGTTACCCAATGTTTTTGCTGTTCTTGGTGACAGTGCATACTGTACTGTATGACATGATGCAGAACTTAGAAAAGACGTTACTGTGTAGTATAGTTACAGTACTGTGCTGTATTACATTCCCTTTGGAGTTGTATTCCTAGTTAAACATAGAAGATCCTAGCCCAACAGTACTTGCTCTTTTTTGCAGAACAGATAGACGTCACCCTTTTGGAGGCAGACCACGGCTTTTGTCAGAAGAGCAAGAAAACGCAGTTGTAAACATGGCCATAGCCAACAATGTGATCCGTTTACGTGAAATTCAGAACAAAGTAATTGAAGATCAAGATGTCTTTCGAGGGATTGACCAGATTAGTATTGCAACAATTGACCGCATCCTTCAGTGTAAAAGATTGGCAATGAAACAAGCCTACCGCGTTCCTTTTGAAAGGAATTCAGAAAACGTCAAAGACCAGCGCTTGGAATATGTGCAAGTAAGTATTTCAGAATTGTATAACACAGTATATGATAGCTCACTTCTAAAGTACAACAGCAGAGAATGTTGTAATGTATTTCTAATACCGTATATGTGATCACATCTCTTTTGTAGAGAATAATGGAGCTTGAAGCCACAGGCACCCCACATGAGTTCATCTTCTTTGATGAAGCAGGATTTAATCTCACCAAAAGGAAGAAAAGAGTGAATAACATTATTGGTCACCGTGCTGTTAAGGAAGTCCCTGGCCAGCGTGGTGGCAACATCACACTGTGTGCTGCCATCAGTCATCATGGAGTTCTCCATCAGCATGCCACCCTGGGCCTGTATAACACAGGACAGCTGGTGGCTTTCCTCAGTGATCTTCGGGATAACATACTTCAACAAAAGCAGGTGGAGACAGAGCAACAAGACTATATAATTGTTTGGGACAATGTCAGTTTTCACCATACTACAGTGGTAAATGAATGGTTCACTGACAATCCTAGATTCTCCACTCTCTTTCTTCCAACATATTCCCCATTCCTTAACCCTTTAGAGGAGTTTTTCCCTGCATGGAGGTGGAAAGTATTTGACAGAAATCCTTACGAGCAGGGGAACCTTCTGCAGGCGTTGGAGGAAGCTTGTAGTGACATTACACTGGAGTCGATCCAGGGCTGGACAAAACATACCAGGGATTACTTTCCCCTCTGCCTTTCCAGAACTAACATTGTTTGTGATGTGGATGAAGTTATGTGGCCTGACCAAGACCAGAGACAGGACCCTGAGGAAGAGTAGCGAGGACGTCATTATTACCAACTATATTCTAGTATTACTTATTTTACATTGTTACAGTACGATGCTTGGGAACAGTTTTGACCATAATGTACCTTTTTCACCCACTATTACTGTATGTACTGTACTTTTTTTTATTTGATATTAGATGCTTTAAATATATCTGAACACTTGTATATGTTAATTGTAGTAGCATGATGTGGCTAAGTTAAAAGTCTATTGCAATAACAATGTATTATGGTTTTGATCTAACATTTAAATGGAAGAGGCAGGGATGGATTAACAACCGGACCTCCGGGGCACATGCCTGGGGTCCCTTGACCAGCATTTAAAGATTTATTAAAGGTTGGCCAGTATGCAAATTCTAAGTCACAAACAACCAACAGAACTTAACAATACATTAGAGAGCGGATACAATGTACAACAGTGAAGAAACCATCACGTAATTAGAAATAAATTCATAAATGTTATCGATATGGGGGCCTGAATTCAAATGAAGGCATATTTTGCTGGGCAGCAGCCAGTCACGTTGCCTTGTGTGATGCTCATAAGCTTCAAAAAGAATAATAGCAGTTTTTCGCCTGTGTTTGTTTGGGGCTCAAAAGTAGCCTACAACTCTGCATACACTTTTACTCTGTACAGCTAAAATTTTCACACAGTTGTGTAACAACTCTACACTTATTTTTGATTTTATTTTTTTTTAAAATAGGTAAGAAAGATCAAGGCTTTTCTGTGATGTGACAGGCAGTGATGGCAGATGGTTGCAGTTCTAGTATGGGGGACACTATGGAGTTTTGTGCCCATGGGCCCAGGAATGATTAATCTGTCCCTGGGAAGACGTTTTTGAGTGGAGTAATTGACTTTGTTAAAGAAATATGAGGTTTGTGTGGTTTTGTGTTTATCATTTTGAAAAAACAGTGTTTCATTTCAAATAATGTGTTTACGCTGCTGGGGAAAAAAACTGTAATGTTGGAAAGGTGGATAGTGTCACCCAGTGGCTGATTCTTATAAAATCTTGTAAAATATAGTAGAGGGCATAGAGTAGTATTTGAATGGTGATTTTTTTTTTCAATAATTTTAGAATTATTGAGTCATCTTCTAAAACAGGGTTCTGCTGTACTACTCTATGATGGATATAATTATTGAGTCATCTTCTAAAACCCTGTGACAAGCGGGCAGTCAAAGCAGCAAACGCAAGCAAAGGTTAAGCTTGCAAAGTGCCACTAGTTATTTTCATTTTATAATGCCATCTACTGGCAAACATGGGCAGATGTGACCAAGAGGATGGTGAAACCCTAGGGCTAGTTCAAAAGGGGTTCACGTATTCTAAAAATGACCTTATAAACCACTGCACTATAGCACCTCTTTAAGACTGATCAGCCTCATCTCAGTTAGCCTGAGAAGCAGGAGGAAGTTTTACCCAGTGTTACCAAGAGTACGCTCAGAACAGGATTTTAGTAACAGTAACAATCAAGAACACATGGATTCCAGAAACTTCAGTGCCTTATGTCTACTATGCTCAACAGCTAGCAGCTGGAACTTTGATTTGCACAAACAAGCTATGTCTTTTGGAGAGTCGTAACACACTCCTTGTATATAGGCTGTTACACAAGTGACTTGAATGCAAACAACAAACAACGAAATTATGTTAACTCAGCCTGTGTTAAAATGGATTTGTGAACAATTGCTAGAAAAGGAGTGTACAGAAATCTTTACCACTGAGGTGTATTGTACTGAGTTCCCATTTTTTCATCATTGTGTACAAAAGCAGGATCAGTTGGTATATTTGTGATTAAATTTACTGTAATTTTCAAGCATGTGCAAATGCTGTTTCTGGTGTTTACAGTATGCTTTGTAATTTTATATGGTGTTTATAGTATGCTTTGTAATTGTCTATAAACTATGGAAGAGAATGTTTGGTCTGGCTGTTCTGTTTTCTGTAATTCTATTTGTTAAAACGAGTTCTTATGCTCTCCAATGTTAATCTCGCAGACATGGTCTCTGCTGAAATTAACGTCATGGAATTAAAGGCAGAGGATCCAGATATTCAGTCTCCAAAACCCTCAGAATCTCTGGAGTTATATGATGGCCCATCTGGTCAGCAAAGTGAGTATATAAAAGTTTGTGTGCTAGTTTGCATATTACATAATTGAGCCAAGCCAAGAGACCACCCTTTATTTATTTAGTTTCCAGTCAAAAAAGCCATAAAGTAAAAGTTATTCTTTTTCAGGATATTTATGAGGAGATTCGATATAAGATTATCCACTTGCATAAGGGAGGAGAAATTCAAATATAAATGGAAAAATTAGTTTACAAAACTGGAGGTAAAATTTTTAAAGATACATAGAAAATGGTAGACCACCAAAACTATCACCATCAGATAAACTTTACTTTCATCCTAAAGACATGAAAATCAGGCTCTACTCTTCAAGTGTGAAAAAATCCACAGGTGTTTCTGTCCATCCTTCCACTGTGAGAAGACAACACTATGAGTCTAGAAGGTTGTGTAGCTGTCAAGAAGCCATTACTGAGAAAATCAAATGGACAAAAAAGAAGAAAATTTGCAAATTAAAGAAGCTGCTTGTGTTCAGATCAATAGAATGACCACCCCAGAGTCCAGACCTCAACAGCATTAAATGTGTTAGAGATTGCTTAAAACATAAGAAGCAGAAAATGCAACCAACTTCTAAGACTGAACTTTGGAGGTGTGGAAAAATATCCCTGCATATTTCTTTAAAAATCTGAAAGCGAGTTTCCTGAAAAGAATGGAAACTGGTGGATGCAATAAATACTGAAAAGATTGCGTTATACTTAGTCCTTGAGGCACCTGTTGGCAATTTTCATTAAATGTTTTATTTTTTACGCTGAAAAATGAATAATTTAATGGCTGAATGTACTGGAAACTAAATAAATGAACGATGACCTCTGACTTTTGCACAGTGCTGTTTGTTCTTACATTTTGAACATAATTCTGTGCTCACCATGAGTTGACTGTCAGAGTTATAAATTGTGTAATTATCAATGATAAGCCAAAGGTGCTTTTGTTCCACAGAGAAGAAGAGTACAGAAGAAAACTATAATGGAATGCAAGACCACACTAACAAAAAGCTTTACCACTGCCTTGAGTGTGGAAAAGACTTTAAGCGTTTAGATGTCTTAAAAAGTCATCAGCAAATTCACACAGGAGAGAAGCCCTACCACTGTGCTTTGTGTGGTAAACATTTTAGACATAGAGGAACTCTGCGAAAGCATCAGCGACTTCACACCGGAGAAAAGCCCTACCACTGCTCTGAGTGTGGGAAAGACTTCATTTCTTTGGATAACTTAAAGAATCACCAGGTCTTTCACACAGGAGGAAAGCCGTACCATTGTTTCCAGTGTGGGAAATGTTTCAGCCAGAAAGGAAACCTAAAATCTCACCAGCGAATACACACCGGAGAGAAGCCCTACCAGTGCACCCAATGTGAGAAAGCTTTTAGTCATTTAGGGAGTTTGAAAAATCACAAACAGTTCCACTCTGGAGAGAAATCCTACCACTGCGCTCAATGTGGGTCAGATTTTAGTTGTCTACTGAGCTTGAAAAGTCATCAACAAGCCCACGCAGAGACGTTCTACCATTGCTCTCAATGCGGGAAGGAGTTTAGACTTAAGGGACCCTTCCAGAAACATTTAAGGCTTCACTCCAGGGAGAAGCCTTATCACTGCTCTGACTGTGGGAAGAAGTTCAGCTCTTCGCTGCGTTTAAAACAGCATTGGCGTGTTCACACAGGAGAGAAGCCCTACACCTGCACTCAGTGTGGGAAACACTTCAGCCAGAAAGGAAACCTAAAATGCCATCAGCGCATTCACACAGGCGAGAGGCCCTACCCGTGTGTCCAGTGTGGGAAAGCCTTCAGCTGTCTACGCAGCTTTAGAAGGCATAAGCAAGTCCACACGGGAGAAAAGCTCTTCCATTGCTCCCAGTGTGGGAAAGGCTTCTTTCATACATACCTCTTAAAAAATCATGAGCGGATTCACACAGGAGAAAAGCCCTATCATTGTGCTCAATGTGGGAAAGATTTCAGGCTCTTGACGAGCTTACAGTATCACCAGGAAATGCACGCAACAGGGAATCAGTACACCTGCTCTCAGTGTGACAAAGAATTCACCTGCAAGCGAAGCTTAGAAAGACATCAGTTAACTCACACCTGGGAGAAACCATACCTTTACCTTCAGACTGATGAGTACAAGGATTGACAACAGTTAACCCATCGCCTACATTAAAGTTAGTGTGTTAAGTAATGTCAAGACTTCTACTCTGTGTAAAGCACGGAAATTTTGCATAGTTATACCTTAGATGAAAATCTAAGCATTTTTTCAATTACATGTAATTATCCTTCTTTTATTCACAATCAAATCATTTTTTTTTTCAGAAAATGAGGAAAAAGGTGTTTTTTATTACATTTTCTACAAGAGCATCAATGAGCACACAGCATAGTCATATGCAAAAGTTCAAACACTCCCAGTCAAACTTTTTCATGATTTTCTAGGCAAGTTGACACAGATCCTCAATGAACACACTTAAAATTCTTATTTTGGTGCACAATTTCTTATTATTTGCTGAGTTTAACACAGTGGAAAAATAAATATCAAATATAAAATGTGCATAACTTTTGCACATGCCACTTTTTTTTGTTTTATTTTTTAATTGAGTTTAATTTATGTTGAGTAGCTCTTTGTAGGGAATGTGAACTATCAGACATTACTGATAATAATGTCCTTTCTTCTGGAAACTACATTAGACTGATGTCGGTGCATTTTCAAGAATTATAAATGTTTACTTATATCAACCTGAGAACCTATGAGAACCTGTTATGAGAACTTCCATACAGCCATCCACTAATACCCACCTGTGTACACACTCACACACAATTGCCTCTGGACTGTAAATGTACTGAATGTGCATTTTATCACAATCCCCTTGTAAGATACATTCTCAATTTATGTTTTTAAAAAAACTTTGTTTTTTTGTGTTTAAAAAACCCTCCATGCAACTGTTTATGTAGTTTAATGTAGCCTAAACATAATGGTGCATTAAAATGTGTAGCAGTGTGTTGTCTGTACAGGATGTGACTTATTTTCACTTAGAAAATCAATAAAATATAATTTGAAAAGGGGTGCCCAAGCATTTGCAAACATCTTTGATCTGTTTGAGTTTGTTGACACCATTATTTAGTTGTGCATTATGCAGTTTTGTAGTTCATACTAAATTTAGTGTTTGGTCACAAGGGACTAGTGATTTTTTACAGAAATCATAGAAAACTTGTACTTAAAGTCTAGAGATGTTTATCATTTTTTGATTCACACATGCATTGATTCTCAACCCTAAAACCCTGGACATTTTAATGCTTTTCATGTTTTAACACTGCCATTTTCACTAAATAATGGGCTGTGAATAAGCTGATGCAAAAGGGCAGGTCAGTGGGCCTCCTGGACCAGGGTTGAGAAACACTGCATTAGTCTCCTATATATCTATAAAAGCATATTAACATGTTCTTCTGAACTTACTCTTACATTTGTTCCAATAGATTTCAATGCATTTTCAAGAATTATGTATGTTCACTTACATTACACCTAAAATCTGTGAACTTCAGATCACCCACACACAGTTGTCTCTGTAAATGGTATACTGTATATGTGAGTGTCCTTTTTTTCTTGCATGCGGACAGACATTTAAGAGCACAAAGATAGATCAAAGCACCTTGAGCCACTGAAGACAGCTCACATAACAATAAATGCTCTGCACTTTACAAGATGTTTTTTAAGTCAACTTGTAAAACTTTCATAAGACAACTGCACAATATGCATCTTTTAATAAAACAAAAAATGCTGTAGTACAGGGTGATGTAGTAAAAGACCAGATTTAGCACTTAAACCATGTGATATTAAAGGGGTAAGGCTTATTACCATTTTTAAAGGTTAAATGTACACGTCCAAACCACTTTAAAGGCTGAGTAGCTGAGTAGCAAAGTTTTGCTGCTATAATAGCATAGTTGGGAAATAACAGGGAAAGAATTTTGAGGTTTATCATTGGCTGTAAGTGAACAGCCAGAAAATGCATTGGAAGCAGTGGAATACATCTCCCTTAACATACCATTTTTATTTTAATATTAGTTTAGAAGAACTTATGTTGGCTCTCAGATTGTGTGTAACAAAAATAATTTGATTTTACTTCTACTAATTGTAGGATACCCCGTGACCCAGAAGGATGAAGCTGCTTAGAAGATGTTTGTGTGAAATTGCAGGACAACTTCCACTGTTCTGGGGAAAACAACAGTTGTCTATTATGACCAATGGCTAAATTTAGTATAATTAGAATAACTGTTTATTTTTTAGCCATATGGTTTGACAGATTTGTGCTGAAGTAGGCTCAGAGAACATGGTAATACATGAATATTTAAAGATGGACATGGGTTATTATCAATAGGACCACTCTGTTTTTTTGTTATTTATCTAATTTTTCTTACAATTCTGTTAACAAATGTCTTTATTCTTAACTCTGGGCAGATTTAGATTTACTCTAAACTTCATCTTTTAATGTCAAAGTACCAACATTTAGAAAACACTGGTAATATGCCATCCTTTGAAATGGGTTGTCTTACCTGCAAGTTTGTTTTGATCCAAGTGAAAGCTCCAATTGAAGAGTGGATACAGGCATGGTGCGATGGTGTGCATTTCTAACTGCCAAGTCAAAGCATTATCTAAGAGCTTCTTGTTCTCTGATTAGCAGTGAGGTCTTGGAAGTGTTGTGTCCTGTTATAAAAGCTTTTATAACTTTACTTTTAGGCAAAATTGCTGATGTTTGTTCTTCTTTTTATTTGGGTAATTTTGCAGAATTTTTTTAATTCACTGATCTTTTCATGCTGTGTATTTTGTACAAGGTTTGTGGGTGATGTGTATCTCATTTAATTGTCATTTATATTGTCTATATATTATATGGTGACGTGTATGTGTGTGTGTGTGTGTGTCTATCATCTGGACTTTGAATGTGTTGGAATGTAAAACACATTCTCAGTTTATGACAGTAAAATATGAACTTTTCAGAACTGTGTTTAAAATACTCTCCATGCAGCTGTTTTAGGTTGTTTAATGTAGCCTAAGTAAATGTATGTAAATGTATAGGTATGAATATGAAATTAAGCACAGCTTAATTTAAGCTTGAAACTTAAATAAAACTGATGGTCTGGAGGGACTGGGAAAGTTACCATGTGAAGAATGTGTTGTGTTAGATTTTCTGAAATGGTGCCTGCTGTCTGTTTGCCATAATGTCACTTAGGCCAGGGTGACCAAATGATGATACTTACCAAAATCAGATTTTTTTTGTATCGACTGTGTGCGTTATGATACAACCATTAAGATGTTCTTCAGTCCAGTTTTGACAGCAAAGGCATGAACTTTGAAGAACTGCTACTTTGGCACACTAGATGGCGATGTCTGTCTTTAACTCACTAGATGCTGCTGTAGAAATCTAGCTGTTCAAATCTGAGAAAGAAAAATGTCAGCAAGCTAAATCTTAGCATCTGATTCTATGCAGTATCACTAACTGACCAAAACTCTCTCACAAATGAGTTTTGTTGTGGGTCGTGGGTCGGCTTACGCAGTTTGGCATTGAAACTACTACATACTGGCAGCATATTGGTAATGCTAATGTAAGTTGACATCACAGCGAAGGGATAAAAAGAGTTTTGGGTATTGCATTATTCCCAAGTTAGTACTTAATGCTGTACTGTATGTATACATGTGTTATTGTTCTCCCTAAAAAACTGGGTTCAGTTTCCCAAAAAACATCTTAGGGTTAAGAATATTTTAACAGGTAGAGAGAATGTTCACTGTGATGCTCGCTCCACCACTTAAGAATCTTTGTGCTAAGATGCTTTTAAGAAAAACCCTGTCCTGATAATTTTTTAATGTGTTATTGCAAACTAGAAAAAAAGCATTATGAAAAGCTAGGCAAACTTTGGATGAGCAGTGCATATCCCCTAGAAATCAACATTTCTCTTTCATGATTAATATGCTGGTATATTAATAAAGGTTGGGTACGGGCCTCAATATTGAGTTAGCCCAGGGCCCCAGAGTGCCCTGATAACAGTGCAAACTAGGATAACAGTTAAAAGACCTAACTAGCTAGATATTTTCTGTGTTAAAATTAAGGAGAGTAAAAAAAGTCTGCCAGTTTGAGGAAAACATCTCAGAACAAGAGAAAACTGGTAACAAAAAAAATTACGATTTTAAATATTACATGGGAATAAGCAGTTTGCTTTATTTAGCATTCAAAATGCTACTCATACAAAAAAGAAATTATGAAATGCATATAATAATAATTGATACTGAATGATAAGAAAAAAATATACTGTGATTCAGCCTTGTCGTCCAGCCATAACATCACTCAGTAGTTTCTGTTCATAAAACATAGCTAATTGAAGTAATATTGCTATATGGCCTAACTATGCATTGGGTTACATTACTACAAATCAGTCCATAAACTGGTTCCATCATACTGTTACATCTGTTTCTGCCTCACTTCAGAGTTTAATGAACAGGAGTCCGGTAACAGCAGTGAAGCCTGTCAGTAGCAGAGTGACCTTCAAGATCCGCTGCCCACTGGAGTTCAGAGCATGAGGCAGCACCTCCATTAAAATGACATAGGCAAAGCTGCCTGCAGCCAGACCCTGCAGCGTGGAGCGGGCCAGCTGGTACTGAGGAGTGGTGTGGGTCTGTCTGAAGCCAATACCCAGCACTGCCCCCAGTGGACATGTTGCAGAGAAAAGCAGCAAGCAGGCGGTCACTGCGGCCCTCCGCAGCTGGGTCTGCGTGAGTTTGACGGCCAGGCTGAGAGCAGTCAGCCCCTTACCAAGCAGCAGGGAGAGACAGAGGTCCAGTCTCTGTCCACCATCCCCCTGTAGGCCCACTGCCAAACCCTCAAATACTGAGCACAGAGACAGTGAGAAAACCAAGACACAAACACGGACAGCGGACAGTGAGCTGACCTCTGCGTGTACACTGGAGCCTCTCCCTCTAGACACCTCAGACCGTAAGTGTGGCTGGTCACTGGAGCCCACCAGCAGAGCTTCTTTTTCAGCCGTGTGGTTGCCGGAGTGTTCTCTGAGGGCCAGAACAACTTGCTCAATGACCAGAACTAAGAGAAAGCCAACGGCCAGAATGAACTCAGGAACGGGGAAACGCAGCTGTGGATGGATGAGAGAGACAATGAGCTATGAGTGAGAAGCAGTGTCACATTCCACCATGCATTTGTCATAACCAGTGACAATGGTGACTTTGAGAGGTTGAAAGCTTTTATAGAGAGGGAGCAGATTACATTTTTTTAAGTGAAACTAAAAGAGAGGACCTTTAAATGTAACTCACTGTCACTCCCAGGCCTCTGAATGTCTCACTCATTCCTGTCAGGTAGCTGGGCACCATGTTCAGTGAACAGCTCGCCAGAAAAACCCCTGCAGCGCAGCAGCCGAGCAGATCCAGCATTCTGTGACGACTCTCTTCATAACACAGGAGACAGCAAAAGCAAAAACATTAACAGAGGGGTTTTCCAGTAATAAATATATACATAAAGTCCAATAAGTGTACCTGAATATAAGCCACATCTCCCTGTTCCTTTCAACAACCACAGCGGAGCAAATCCACACAGCACAGTTGAGGAAAACAGCAGGAATATGGAGCCCAGCTCCAAGTCGAAGCCAGGTATGTCCAGATGTGGCACCTGTGCAGAGGCCATCTTTCCTGAATCAGACTCTCTCAAAGTTAGTAGCGGTCACATATGGTCCACAATCCAGCCATCGCTCCCAGGACTGTCAAGGATATCTAGCAAGACAAAACAGAGATAAAAACTTGACTGCAACAAAGTGGTTTGATCTCACTGTAATCCTAGTGGGTCAATCAGGGCTCATTTATGATATCGGGTGTCAAGTGTACAGCTGGTCTAACTCACTGTAGAACCCGATCACATTCATATTCGAAAAGTAACCAGAGATCCTACATTAGCCCTCATTATGAAAGGTACAGCCATAGAATATAACTTGCTACTGACCAAGACTAGCCAGAAACTACAAAAAAAAAGACTGAAACGTTTTAAGTTTTAGAACGAAACAACATTTTTAAGTAGTTAAAAGCAACAGCCAAAAGCAAACATTTGAGGAACATCAGATGCAAGCTGGAGCTGTAGTTCACATCTATCTAACTAATCGGACTGCAGCCCTGTTCTCCAGCTCAACACATAACCTGCTGCTGTGAGCACTTTGACAGCTAGCCTGGAGTATTTTAGAGAATATCTTTGCCATTTTGCCCTTCAATAGATAGTTAATCTTTAAAAAGACCTACAAAAATATGCATTTTGTCTCCTTTCAGCCTCGTGCGGCTTTATCACTCAGTTCGCTAATGCTAACGGTATTACTCATTACTCTACAGGCTTAAAACCAGCACAGCTACCGACTACAGTATCGTCTTCACGGTTTATTTGAGCGTTCCTTAGTTTAATATCACTACCTTTGTAGTGCTGAGGCACTGCAGACTTTCCGGAGCTCCAAAACGATGTTTGTGTTGATCTACGTGCAAGAACGAGTTTCCTAACTTTCTGCTTTTGTTCCTATAACGGGAAAGAAGGGAAAGTGAGTCACTGGCTCCGGGAAGGAGAGGGCGGGGCTAGGGGGCGTTCCAGTACGCATGTCCCAAATACACCTTTAGGCTCCTACGTAGTGGATGACTTTCTAGGGGACGAGAGCGTGTGCTCTGTTCAGGTCATTAGGGGAATTAGATTTCGTGAGATATTGGGACACGGAACCTCCTGGAACACGTTTGTGCATCTCACTCGTGTCGCGGCAGAATGAGACAAACGTACGACGAGCGAGCTAAAGTCTTCATACATAAAATCTTATGTTTGTACTCAGGTACGAAAAAGGAAAAACGAAAGCTTTAATTACTCTGGGCATTCTGAGGTATCGCGGGACGGTTGTTCACGTGACTGCTTCTGTGTAGCACCGAACTTTCCTATTGGCCAACGTGGCGTCTATATGCCAATCAGCAGTCAGCATGTAGAGGCTCAGCCGAGCATGTTATCAGATCTGTAAGTGTGCGGATGGAGTTGAGCGGGTTCTCCTTAGTGAGGGCCGCTGAGCGCAGATGTGCTTCAGGGTGTGTGTGTGGGTTAATCAGTGCGACCTGCCCTCCTGCACAACACGGATGTGGCTTCTCCCTGCTGTTTAGTTGCGGATCACAAACATTTCATGGTCTCTGCTGGCGGAGTTTATGCAGAAACAATGCGGGAAACGGACATCGTGTCTGGATCTCCTGGAGCCACTGAGGCGGTGAGAGAGGGTCCAGATGGCCTGTTTGAGCTCAGTAACAGAGGTTTTGTTTTTATTTTAGATGAGCACCTGAGTCGTGTTCACTGCAGACTGTGAATACCTGTTTGATCTTAGCATGTAAAGAAACTCCTGAATGTTTAGTGGACACACATTTTTAATAAAGGACGAGCTCTGATATTCATACAGCTGCTCAGGGACTTCTGACAGGAGCTGGAGCTCATGTTCCTTCCAGGATATAAATGTCTGATAGAGGCTGAGCTGCACTTCCTAAAAGCCCCTGATATTATGCAGTATATTTACATTAGAAACATATTTTCAAAGTTTCTAGCTGTGGGTTGAGAGAGAGGAGCTGATCACAGAGGCTGAGAAATTTGGGGAAATTAATCACAAACTTGGGGACAAACAGTGAGGACAGACGCCAGTGTATTAACTCTTTAAACCCTAAAGGCCTCTGTATAGGTCTGCAGTTCACTTCCTCAGTCTTCTAACTGCAGACTTTGCATAATAGTAGTATTTACTGTTCATATTAGTTAGTACATAGTAATTACTAATTAATAAGCTACATTACTAATAACTGATTAATAAATAACATGCAGCAGGTTTAAGGTGTTATCAACCTGTTTCTTTGTTGATGATTTTCTATTGTTCTATATCTGTTCTGTTTTCCTTTTTTGGTAAAATTCATGTCAATAAAATGCTCTTCAGACAGATGTGACTCCTCCTACTTTTTCTCTCTCTCTCTCTTTCTCTCTCTTTCTCTCTCTTTGTCTGTCTGTATCTCTCTCTCTCTCTCTCTCTCTCTCTCTCTCTCTCTCTCTCTCTCTCCACTCCTTGAGCAAACATCTGTTCTTCGTGCTGTACTGGAGAGAAACTCACTGTTCTAGACTCCACAGACTCATCCTAATCTTAGATAACGCTGTTGTATTAAATCAGTAATATCAACTCTCATTGTAGCAGAGGAGGACGGTCACCCAGCTGAACCCTGGATATTGATAAAGTGAACCTTAACTGTTTTAATCCATTCTTTTATTGCAGGACAGTGAGGAGGGCAGTCTGTTTTTCAGACAGAGTGAGGAAGATGGGCCGCTGGAGGCCGGGCTAGTTCTGACCAATTCCTGTCCGCACTCTGTGTACAGCAGCACAGAGGAGTGGGTCATCCAGCCTCACAATGTGAGTAATACAAGCACTTCAGTCATGTTAATGTTTAAATCTGTATTCCTTTAGAGTGATGTTTTCATTGTTTACTGCAACTGCCCTATCAATCATAACATGACCTCCTTTAGATGGTCAATGTTTTGTGATGTTTTTGCTGCAGAAAAGTTGTAGTCGTTTGTGATCTCTTTACCTTGTGCAAATAGAAATGTTACATTTTCATTTTGAGGTATTAATCCCCTGATCTCTCCATGTTTTGGATGCTTCTGTTTGCACTATTTGCATTTAATGCATTGCATGAATTGACCAATGGGCTTCCTTATCATTCAATAATTAATGACTTGATCATACTGGAAATCCTTACCAGGCTCCTCACTAAAACTTGGCAACAACCTGGAGACTTATCTACCTCGGAACATGTTGACTCCCCCGGGTATGCAGGCTGTCAGTGGTTTGGGGATACCCTGCTTATGTGTCTTTGCTTCTTTGCAGTAACTTAACACATTAAAGAAAGATTGGCCGGGTTTATTTTGAGAAAAAATATTTGTGACAAAATTTGTCCCCATACTGTATCCTCTGGTTATAATGACAGCACCAAAAGATCTTCAGTGTGTGCTTTGAACAATAGTTTAGAAAAAACAAATCCAATTTAGTCGTTTCCAATTCCACCCACTATTTAGGACTCCCCAATCACATGATACTAGCAGTGCTAGGAGGGTGAAGGCTAGCACAGGCTTCCTCCGAGTCCTGTGAAGCGCCACCACATCTTTTCGAGCTACCGCTAATGCAGCCTCATTGGACAGCTGAATGCACTTGGAGGAAAGCAGCAACCACCAGTTCTGTTACATCAGCTAACAGATGCTAGCTGACTAGCATCGCGCTGTGTGATGGGGGAGAGGGGGGGCATCCTAGCGAGGCCAGTTGTGCTCTCTTGGACTCTTGGCCACAGATGGCTGTAGCATTACCAGGGATCGATCTCGTGATCTTCTGATGAAAGGGCCAATGCTTAGATGGTTGTGCCACTTGAGAGCCTGCAAAATAAAAACAGCGAACAGTAAAAAGCACATATTGCATAGTAAATGTCAGAAGAAGGCAAGTTGTCCATAAACTTTTGACAAGCAGTGTGTACTATTTATCCAAACCCTACAAGCATCTGACTGTTGTTTATCATCGTAGTCTGAAAGTCAAAGAAGATGTTTTTTGAGGTTTGTAATGGTTCTGATGGTTTGATTTTTTTTTTATTTCTAGCAGAGTCTGCATGACAGTGAGTCTGAGGACATGCTCCAGGCCATAAACCCAAACGAAGTTTATGCCTCAGATCCTCTGCGGCAGTCGCTGTCGGAGAGTGACAGTGGCATGTCAGATGACCGTTACTCAGATGGCCCAGCTGTGCTGATGGAATCCACTCATAATCAGGCCATGCCCACTGTCTACCAGGTGGTTTATGACATCAGTGGCCTGGGGGTCAGCCCACAGGAGCAGCAGAAGGTGGATGTCATCTCCATAGAACTCGGTGAGTGTCTGCTGTTCCTCACCTGCCTTATAGTGATAGTTTAAAATAACAGTCAAATGTGTACAATTTTCCCCGTATACTGTCTGTAATAGACTTACCTAATGGGGTTTTTCGGGCACTGTATGAAACAAAAAATATGGATAAAAATACAGACAAAAGCAGTCTGGCTGTTTCAAATTCAGGTTGGCTGTTAGAGCCTTTACCTATGAAGTGTACAGCTGTCCATTTTTAAATATGACAGTGTGTTATGCAGCATCACAGACTTCATATGTAAATCTTTTTGAGATAACAACTTGGCACACTTTGAGGTGAATGTGTGATGATATGCACGTGCAGTTTTCACAGTGCTAATTTGGTAGGGTAATTGGGGGGATTGTGTAAGGGTAATTATTTGCCAGACTAATCCTTTAAAGGGAAACTCCACCCATTTTTCACAATTTCCTCATAATTCAGAGTCAGAGTCATTCAGAGTGATTTGAGGTGAAATGGTGCATTGTAGAAAAAACTTATTGATCTGGATTTCTTTACAGTAGTGGGGATAGGAACCAGCAGCCACAATGTCTACAACCATAATATAGCCATTTTTTAACTATCCAAAATCAACTGTGAACCTACGCATGTTTTCTGAGTATTTATATGTAATCTTGATAATAATAATTTTAGAAGTAAATCTGAAAAAAACACTATTTTGCATTACAGTGGCCTGGTTGTACCTCTCCACCATGAA